AAAAGTTTTTATTCTTTTTTTTTTAATCAATTTATAACTAAAGGAAAAATCCCCTCCAAAATTGTCACGCACATGACCACAATTCTAGATGTGACAAAGAGAAACTGAACAATGCTACATTTACCTAGAAAATATCATACATCTGACCAAGGGCCCTGTATTGGCATGTGACAGGAGCCCCAGGGATGAATGTCCACTGTCTAAAAGGAAAATAATGGGCCTTGATTCCAAAGTATAGTAAAAATACCTTGATTAGCAAAGAGCTAGTGACTTCTAAGTAATGCTGAAATACTTAATAATTTAACTGGTATGCACCTAAAACCCCTTCTAGTTTTATGTCTGTAATCAAAAGAAATAGGCTTTCTGTAGTTTTTGGATTTTGAGTTTTGCAGGCAGTGGGGTTAATACAGATTAAAAACAGCAAGACCTTTTGTATTCTTAGTCCCATGCAGCTTGAGGAAGATGCAAAGCAGTAGGAAAAGAACTAAAAGCACAAAACAACCCAGCAAGAAACAAAAGGCCAGCAATACAAATATTTAAAAGAAAGACCAAATCTTCTCCCTCAAACTCCATGCCAACCCTGATCATAATACACCATCAGAGTAGGAGCTAAGAGGTGACTCGTGATTTGAATATTAATAACTGATTAGGTATCAAGATTTAAAAGAATCCTATAGAATGTGTGAACTACTATAATCAATTTAATTTGCCATAAGTGACATTTCAGACAGCATAATGATTTTATATAAAACATTAAACAGCACCAATATGACAAGCACATTCTTACCTTTGTCAAGGAATTCCAGGGAATAGAGCAACTCCCAGCTCTCCCTGGCCAATTTAAAGCTTTCCAACACTTCGATGGAGTTAGCAAGTTCTGCTTTATTGACTACAATGTGACGATTTCTTCCTTTTGCTGAACAGTCTTCGTCATCTGAACTCTGCTTAAAGAATGTGAAGAACAAGATTAATTCGAAGTTACAAATATGGTCATGTATCAAAACACTATTATGTTTATTGCTACCAGTTCTGCCTATTATATGGATCTTATATCAAAGGATACTATATATGTCTAACAAATAAATTTTTTAATTTAACAAGTTAGCTTTGAAAATTAGTATAAATTTTTCATCTTTACAGTCTCACACATTCAATTTTTCCTTTTAACATTGAGTTTATCTTTTTCTGATATAAATTCTTAATGTTTGCTTATGTTGGCTTTGGAGCAAAGTTACGGAATTAAATTTTCCAATAATTTAAAAATATATTCATTTTATAAAAGTCAAAAATTAGATTTTTACATTGAGAGATATAGCTTAAATGGTGCCTGTTTTAGAGGTTATTTTTCCCCCCAATATGTGACATTACTTAATTTGCTTCCAAATAATAGTTTGTCATGTACTGGAATAAAATTAAAGCCTGAGTCCCCTAAGAAATAATGCCAGAGAATGACTGTATTTATCTTTTGTTCACTGCACACAACTCCTCTGGCCACCCCTCTCTCCAGCTCTGCTCCCTCAGTGTAAGGTGTCCCATCAGGAATTACATTTGTCTACACGTACTTAGTAATGCGTTAGAAAAGATTTTTTACTTTTCTTGCTCTTCATCTCAAGTAATAAAAAAGTCAAAGAAAAGAGAAGGCTGTGGGAAAAAGCAACCTCGGGAAATGCCAGTGGACAGAGTCAGACATTTTGCCAAAAAACCAGGAAAGGTAAAAAAGCTCTACTGAATTTTATTTTGCTAGGAATTTCTTGACTCTTTAATTCCACGTAAGTCATTTTACTAATTCAATGACCCAAATTAAATTCTTTTTGCAGATCTTTACTCCACTGAGATCATTTAAAAATAGGTACAAATGTTTTTGCTAAAAGTTTCGTTACCCAAACTCATCTCAGCTAAGACAGGAAGCCATTAGCACCTCCTTCCCACTGCCCACCTTTCTCGTGCCTCCTGAGCTTGGTATCCTCCTGCCATTACCTGCTTGGGGACTCTATGCCATCCCACTGTCCAGCGCCCATGTTTTTATCCTCCCTCAGTGATGACACACATGCTTTCACAATCAAAACCTACTTGTCAGGTATTATTTCATCAGGGGCTGTTTCTTGCCAAGTCGTGGCGGTCTAATACCATACACTAACATGAATGGTGTGTTCGTTAGTGTTGCAACTTATGGAAAACATCCCTGCCTCAAAATGAGAGCAGGAATGTATTAAAGGCCCCCAGGTGTGGTGGGAAGTAGTGTGGAGTTCCAAATGTTTGTAAAATTTAGAGAAATCGATTTTGAAATGTGCACATACAGTCTGAAGCTCCGAGGGCGTGCTCTGGAACAAGGGCCCTCACCGCAGGAAACACACACAACAGCGTGCTAGGTGGGGGAACAGACTGCCCACAGGAGAGGACCGCCCCCCAGCTCCAGCCATCTGGCCTGTCACATGAGCCAGTGAATCAGGCTGGGTGGAGAAAGTACTATCTAATGTGGGCAGCCACCACCCAACTCCAGTTGTGGGCCACCATAGGGGCCTGTGTTACCAAATATTCCAATTATAAAGTGGAAGTTGGAAATCTGGATTATGAGAAATGTTAGGTTTCTAATTTTTAAATGCTAGGTTATTAAAACAACAATACTATAAGCAAAGCAAGATGCATCTGTGAGCTGAACTCTTAGGCCATCAGATATGTCCTCTGCTGTGACGGGACACACAGACTTGGCTAGACCTGCATCAGGTGGGGGCACACTGTGGGATGGGATGAAAACCAGGAGGAAGTCAGCTAAGACAGTGAAAACAAAGTAGATGGAAATCCCAGATCAGTTGGAAGGCCAGAGAATGAGAACAGGGCCTGCTAAATGAGCATGTGACAGGTGAAAAAACAGAAGGATAGGTGGGCTCAGAATATTTAAAATTATCCTACAGCCTGGATGCCAAACCCTGCAGGGGTCAGTGGGAATTCCCTCCTTTACCAGATGTTCGCCGAACGCCTGCTTTGGCTCAGGCACTGTTCAAATGCCCGGGGCACATTTGTGGATAAGCTGGACCAAGTCCTAGGCCCACGGAGCTTGTACTCTAGTGAAGGGACACACAGTAAACCAACCAACCAACCAACCAACAAGCAAAATGAGTTATGCAGGGAATTAAAGCAGAGTAAGAACAAGAGAAAACTGGACAACTACTGAAGATGCATGCTCAGGGGAGGCCTCAGAAGGAGAAATGTTTGGGCTGGGACAGAATGACAAGGACCTAGTCTGAGACCTGAGGGAAAAGCGCCCCACTTACAGAGCACAGCCTCCACGGGCAGAGGCCGGGAAGCAGGCACGGGCTCAGAGCATTAGACTTGTTCAGGGAGGCCAGTGTGTCTGCAGCACAGAAGGGCCTGCTCAGGAGGTACTTTGTACGGCAAAGTGAAGAGTCTGGATTTTAGTCTACGTGTGATGGGAAGCCCTGAGAGGCTGGAAAGCAAGAGAGCCACGTCTGATTCATATTTCAAAAAGATCATTCTGGCTGCTGAGGCAAGAAGAGGTTGTAGGGCGCAAGGCTGAAAGCAGGAAGACAACGTAACTACTCTGACTGCCTTGGAAAGAGACTGTGATGGCTTGAGCAGGGAGGCAGCGTAAGGACGGAGAGAAACTGAGGGACTGCGGCTATGCTATATATGCTGAATTTTATGGGGGCATGGGATTACTTTTACTTAAAACTAGTAACATACAACCTGTTATCTGCATGGAAGAAAGAGGTGTCTGTGGTCTTCACGTGCAGTCCCTGGATAAACTAGCACTCTCAGACACCACAAGGAAGAGCTAACAAGACTTACTCCACCTGGGAATGTCAGGCAAGCAGGAAAGTGTACACAGGCTTATGGGAGCACCTGGGAAAGTTCTCAACCTGGGGTTCATGGTTGGGCTTCAAAGCATCTGTTGACCCCTAAAATAATTTGGAAATTGTGCATGTGTGCATTTTTCTGTCGGAGGAAAGAACTTAAATAAGTTAATCGAAAGGGTTAATAACTTTATAAGCATCCAGAATAGCTTTATGTCTTCCTGTCTCCAAACCATCTTCTAGAGAGTCTACAGAGACATCAAATTAATGAATGTGATCTTCAGACTTATCTCTCATTGTGCCCAGGATCTAGTAAAATGTTACCCAAGGATGGAAGAAACAGGACAAAAAATGGGTGAGGCTCTTGGCTCTCTTTGGATATTTCAACTAGAACAGGGATTAATAAACTATGTCCAGCAGGCCAAACTGTTTTTGCAAATAAAGTTTTATTTAAACATGGCTCCCTCATTTGTTTTTCGTATTGTCTATGGATGTTTGTGCACTATTATAGCAAAGCTGAGTAGCTGCAATAGAGACCATATGGCCTGCAAAGCCAAAAGTAGTTATTACTTGGCCATTTACAGAAAAAGTTTGCTGACTCCTGAACTGGAGCAGCTCAACTTTCCTGTTACACACTGGGCTTCCACTAAAGATTTTATTGAAAGAAAAGGTTCTTCTGCTTAAGTAAAAGTTTGCAAATCACTGTCATGCATAGCTTATTACCTGGCCAAGTTAGAGGACTGATGGATCTTCCCATTCTCTGGCTCTTGCGTCTTTGTATAAACTATCTCTGCTCAACAAAATTGACCTCCCAATTCCAACTGATAAAACCCTATGTATCCTTCAAGGCTGATTTCAAATGTGGGACTCCTTCATGAAACCTCCCCAGCATCTCCCCATGGCTTGTTCAGGCTACCCTGAGAGCCTCAGCACTTTCCATTCTGAGGCCAGAACCCAGCACAGCTTCCTGCTCTACATGTCCACTGCAGCTTTGGCTTTCTTTTTTAAATTTAATCAATGCCATTCAGTCAAAACATATATAAGTAACTTATACCTGGGTTTCTCAGCCTTGTCAGTATTGACTTGTTGGGCTGTCCTGTGCATTGTAGGATGTTTGGCCGCATTCCTGTTCTCTACCCACTAGATGCTAATAGCAACCCCTCCCCACCAAGCCATGAACATCAAAAATGTCTCCGGATACTGCCAAATGGCCCTGGGGGGCAGAATTGCCTCCAGTTAAGAACCACTGACTTACACAGTAATTATATTGTATAATTTATCTCCAAAGCCATATTATACAAAGATTCAACTCTAGCAAACCATAAACATACAATCTGTTAATAATTATATCTGAAAGGATTACCATGGTTTTCTCTCTTCCCTCAGCTAGTTTCCTCTTTTTATGTATGTGCTTATTACGATCAATTTCTACATCACCATACACATTGGATACATCTTCAAGAAGTACCAGCGGAACTTGGCTTGGGGCATTAGGACCTAGGAAGGGAGAGAAAACGCTAACATTTAAAAATGCAGCAAGGAAAAGACTATGTAATATGAGAGGGAAGTTCACTCACCTGTCATGAGTAAATAAAGGTCATTAAAAATATGTTCAGTGTGATCCCAATTAGGTAAACAAATGTGCATATAGAAAAAAAAAAGACTGTCTAGCTATACACCAAATTGTTAATAAAGATTCTCTTTCAGTAGCAGAATATAAGTGATAGTTCCTTCTTTGTATTTGTTCTTACCTACATGAAAATTTTTTACAATGAACATGAATCATAAAATTACCATAAAACGACTACAAAATTACACACACATTATGTTACAAATTCCACATAAAGTCTAAGGACATGTAAGACTATAAGGCAATACATAAAAATGAGAGCTGTATTATACTGGAAGGATTATGGGTGATTTCACCCTCTTGTTTCTATTTTTCAAACTTCTTAGCCTATATATATGTATATATTATATATAAAACATGTATTTTACTTAAGAAATCTTTGCCTATTGTGATATACTTCAATACATCTGCTGTTTTTACAAAATAAAGGCATTCAATATCTGTATTTCATTTCACATTACCACCACATCCTTTGATAATAGAAATTTTTAATGAAAATACACTTATATAAAAGCTACCAACTAATAAGCCAGACTAAACCTAACTAAATCACCAATTGCAAAAAGCACTGGTACCATGGCTACATGGAGCCAATGACAGTGGTTAAAGTAAACATTTTCGTCATCCTTACCATCTTCACTGTACCAGTATTTTGGAACACTCTAAAATTTGTAAACCGACCTTGGAAAAGAGATGGCTGTATGCTGTTGACGTACTGGAATGCATTCTTAAAGAAGACCAACATAGTGGAATAAACCACTTGGTTTTTATATTTTGCATGTGCTTCGTTATCAAAGTTATTCATGTATCTGCAGAGATCCTTCATTCTATGCAAAATATCACCATAGCTTCTGAAAAATAAAGGATGATAAAACTTATTCAATTACTCTGGGCTTGTCAGCAAAAGATCTAAAAAAAAAAGCTCTGGTAGAACCATTACATTTACCAATTGTAGCTCTAGGCATGTAAAATTATTCTTTTCTGTCTGCATATGAATGGCAAATTTCCCTTTCTGAATTAGGGCAGTGATCAGGCCAAGATGTCATGACACAAACATGCCAAGCAGCTTCTCTTTTCTCTGAACTACCAAGGAGAATTACAAAGTCAACATCATCTTAAGAGTTCATACTTCAGTTATGAATCTTCTGATAAAGGGAAAACCGCTCTCTTTTGCATAAATATTGAATGTCACAAAATGTGCCCAAAGAGGAGTGTACCTATGTACTGTGTGGTTTTTAAAAGTGTCTTATTATACAATAATCCAAAATTGAATTGATTGAATTATGCAATCAAAAGATTTGCTAGGCAATTCTAGAAATAAACTATTTATTACCGTCTTCCTTTATCCATCTGCCATTCACATCTCATTCCAACAACATTCAAAATCTTGAACAACCTCTCCCAAGGGTCTACAATCTGGGATGATTTTTCAGTCAGCCCTTCTATTATGTACTTCTGAGAGCTACGTTTGCTAGGAGACATTAAATCAGATGTATCTTGGGCACCTGTGATGTGAGGGAAAAAAAGCCTACAATTAACATTACTATTTATTATTTATATGGTACTTGATAAAGAAAGAAAAAGTCTGATTCTCCATTCAAAAGAAAAGAGTAAAGAATCTCAACACATTATATGTTTTGCTCAAGGACCCACAACTGGCCTCTGGTATAAGCAGGAAGTGACTTTCCCTACTTGGCAAATGTGTTACATGTGTGAAGTTCACCAAGAAGACTGTTTTGATCAAGGGGTGGCAGTGGTTCCAGAAAAGTCTCATCTCTTAACTGTAGTATCGTTTCCTAGATGCTATCTTTCAGAAACACTATCAAACTGGAATGCATCCCAAGGAGAACGATCAGAATGCTGAGGGACTTCTGAATTTGTAATTTTACTAAAGCCTGTCTAAATAAAGGTACAGTGTATTCCCACTTACCTTGGTGCTGATTTTCTATCTGAGCAGATCTAGTGACATAGTTGATATAAAATTCAGCTGCTTTGTTCAAATACTTATATAATAAATTGGCAGGCAATCGAACATCATGGTTGTTAATTATTAGAGGGAGGACATCACAAACTGTTGAAGGGGAAAAAGAAGAAAAAACAGATTAGGTTGTCTACCGTAGGGTTCTGGCAAAAACAAAACTTATTTTAGAGTTCACTTAATGTGGTATCTAAAATATACAGGAGGGGGGAATCCCTCATGGCACATTTATTTTAAAATTGCCACACAGAAAGGCACTGGTGGATAGAGTCCGCAAGGAAACCCACGAGCAGATTCTACATTGTGGGTGCAGATCTAGTTCTTATCTTGGAGAGGCGTTCAGATGTTTGTTTATTATTATGCTTCATATAATACTTACATATATGGTTACATATATTCTTTCGGAGGTATCAAATACTACATAATAAAAGTTTAGAAGTTGTTTAAAATGCTTTCTAGGTCAAAAAAAGCAGAATTTAAATTCCGTACTATGAAGAGCTCCTCTGCTTTCCACAAATGAGCTTAACCCTAAAATATACTTACCCCAGCACATTCTAGTTACCATAAGGAAGTAATATAGAATACATTTTTCTTACCAAATAATTTTCTAAAGCAGTTAACAGGAGATTCTTGTTCTTCAATGGTTTCAGCCTCTAACAATGCCTCCCCAAGGCCAACCTGTTTCAAAATAAAATTAATCATTTAAAGAAGTCAGAATTACATGAAGAATCACGGTATTTTTTTTTTTTTACTTATCACAGTTTGTATATTAAAACTTCCCTGAGAAAAAATAATCACATTTTAAAGACTAGAAAACAAAAAAAAAATGCATCAGCAACACAGCTACGAAGTCCAAATTCACCTGACCATTCTGTCTCAGTCTCCTCAGAATTAGTAAAATTGAAATACTAACAAAATGTCTACAGAAACTTAAGGGCAGCACTAGAACTAGAGTCTGAATGGTAATAGAGATGCAGAGATTTTCTAAGAAACACGGAAACTAACTTTATCATTCTCTATGTGAAGATGTATTGTACAGATAAAACTTACCCCTTTTAACGTAAGTTCAGGAATAGTCTGTCATGCAGTCTGAGCTGGACCAGACAGAACTGTCTGAGTTTTAAGGCTACCTTTCCACTTCTCATGTGCCCTAGCATACTACAAAGCCCCTTATCAAGATCTGCTAAGATGTTTGTATTATCTTCTTTGCAGCCACACACGGATGCTCTAAGGCAGGGTGGAACGGTATGAAGGACTATGTAACACAGAAGGTTAAAAGTCAGAGTAACAATCGAGGGGTGTAGTGGGTTGAACAGTGTCACCCCAAATTCACATCCACCCAGAACCTCAGAATGTGATTTCAAATATAGTTTACCTTTAAAAACAAATAGTGGCTTTGTAGATGTAATTAGTTAAGATGAGGTCATACTGGATTAGGGTGGGCCCTAAATCTAGTAACTGGTGTCCTTACGAGAAGCCATGTAAAGACATGGACACAAAGGGAAGGGGATCATGTGACAATGGAGACAGAAACTAGAGAGATGCAGCTGCTGGCCGAGCAGTGGTGAAGACTGCTGACAACTCGAGGCTAGGCAGAGAAAAGCGAGGATTCGTCCCCAGAGCCTTTGTGGGGAATATGGCCCTGCCGGCACCTTGCTTTTGGACTTCCAGCTTCCAGAATCGTGAAAGAGTTTCTGTTGTTTTAAGCCACCCAGTTTCTAGTACTTAGTTACAGGAGGCCTAGGAAACTAACACAAGGAGGTATGGAAAAGGTGAACCAGGATCAGAAGCCCAAAAAATGGCATGGGAAAGAATAAGCCACAGAGTTTAAATGAATGGAGATGAATGGTTTGAATCCTGACTACTCACTGGCTACGGGAAGTTACTAAAACATTTGAGATTCAATTTCCTCATCTGTAAGGAGAGACACTGTTTACTTCAGGGCATTCAGAAACACAGAGAAGCAGATACTTAACACTCACCAATGCCTGCCAATAGCACTCAATAATTATTACAGACATAGGGAAGTAGAAGGAATAGAAGGAAGAAGCACATGAAAAACATATCTATTAAGACTATAAATTGTAGCTCTCATTTAAATTCAAAAACATATTATTGGGCTGGGTGTGGTGGCTCAAGCCCGTATCCCAGCATTTTGGGAGGCTGATGCGTGGGAGGATTTCTTGAGGCCAGGAGTTTGAGACCAGCTTGGGCAACATAGTGAGACCTCATCTCTACAAAAACTTTAAAAATTAGCCGGGCATGGTGGCACATGCCTGTAGAGTCCTAGCTACTCAGGAGGCTGAAGCAGGTAGATCGCTTGAGCCCAGGATTTTGAAGTTGCACTGAGCTATGATCAGGCCACTGAACTTCAGCCCGCGAGAGACCCCCTCTCCAAGAAAAAATAAATTAAAAAAAAAATAAAAAGCCACATTGCTAAATACAATGGAAAAAGATTATTTTTGACTGTATAGACTGCAAAAAAAATAGTACTATCAAGGGTTTGGTGACTGTTTCCTTATACTGATAAGAAACTTTTCCTGGAAATTTATAAAGTTTGGTAACAATGATGTCCTTTCAGCTTTACTAAGAATCCTCAATTTAAGTTCAATCTTAGCCAGTGCTCCTCAGAATCTCCACTTTAATATAGTACATACTACAGATCCTAACTGTACTAATGAATCTATCAATGATCCATTTTATTTTCTCTTAAAAAAAAGAAAAGGAATCAAATCTTACCCCATGCTGTACCACTGTTTCAGGGAAGCGCCGCAGAAGTAGAAGCAGCATCTCTGATCGTTCCAATGTGTTGAAGCATTGTTCCGTGACCTTTAGTAACATTTCACACTGGACCCGACCAGGAAGAGTTTCAAATAAACCTGTATACAACACATTGCACTTTTAAAAGTTTCTTTCAGAAACAAAATACTGAAGCAAAAGTGTTAAGTAAGGCATTTTTGTGTACGGAACAGTGAACACTACATAAACGATCACTGTGGTCAGGTTTTGCCTACAACCTGGCAGGCTTTTGGGTCTGATGGTATTTAGTACAAGATGTTTGCTGAATAATCATAGAGTATTTGGAGGCCTTATTGGATACAGAAGACATGAGTGATGTATGTGAACCGTCATAAGAGTGCTTGTTGCAGGTTGAGATAAAGAACACACGCTTGTTTAAGTTGAAATGACCTAAACCATCTACTTTCTTTTTTATCCAGACTTTGAAATCTTTGATTGGCTGTAGCAACAAACACAGAAGTCTAAAGAGAAAGTTCATAAATTACAAAAAGTTTCTTTTCTGTTTTGTGGCGATCTGGTTAATCTATAGATGTTTTCTGGTTAATGTAAAACCTGTTAAAAATATATTCAGTTCCCTGGTTGCTAATAAATCCATATCCTTTAAGGAAGCTTAAAGCGTTCTAAGCAAATACTCAAGGTACTGCGTGACATTATTGTAGACTTAGGTTGCCAAGAATAAAACATACATACAGGCACCAATACCACAGGTGTAACTTTTTTGGTAAAATTACTATATATGATTTGGTATTCCAGAAATGGTCATGTGTATACCATTAAGTTATTACTCCACTCTTACTTCTTAAAAATTGGGTTTGTTTATCCTGTGAATCGTTCCTTAATGCTGATGTAATAATGCTGATTTCTCTCCACACCACCGGCTGGTCTGGGAAATTCACAAACCTATTTTAAAATGAATGCATTAAATTAAAATGTCAGATTCTATACAGTATCCAAAAAAAAAGACCATTATCATTTGGCAAAAAATATTTTCTTTATTCCAAGGGAATGCTTAGATGTGCCAAAACAAACCAAAATAAAGATATAAAACTAAAAACTAATTAGTTTAGAAAAATAAGAGTACTTACAAAAGTCTTTAGAGATTATTATAAGTGAAAAGATGAGCAACCGTAATATACAAAGAACTCCTAAAAATCAACAAGAATAAAACAAATCATCCAAAAAAAAAAATGAGCAAAGGCAAACCATAGAATACAAACAGCCAAAGAGAAGAGTTGAAACAACACTCAACCTTAGTAATACAAGTAGCACAAATTCAAAAGAGACAGATAATATCCAGTGTTGGTAAGGGTGCGGGAAAACTGGCTCTTATATACCGTAAGTGCAAATGTAAATTGGGATAGTACTTTTTGGAGAGTGATTTCATAGCGTATCAAAATTTAAAATGTGCAGACCCTTTGAGTATGAAAATATTTGTGTTGGAATCTATTCCACAGAAAAACACCAAAATATGGGTACAAAATTGCTTACTGACAGACACTCTGAACATAGTTCCAAATAATTGAAAACTATCTCTCTAAATGTCCTCCAAGAAAAGAGTGGTTGTGAAATGCTGTATAGGCATGAAAAAGAACGAAGTAGAACTCTACATACTGAAATGGGAAGAGGTCCAGTACAGTAGGTGAAGAAGGTAAGTTGCAGAATAGTGTGATCTCACTTCAGTAACCCCTCTCCCCGCAAAAACTTATTTATATGTATTATGTGTATTTGTACAGATATACTGCACACAAAACTTAATTCTGGTCGAGTTTAGAAGCACTTTAACTTTTTATTCTCTTTAACTTTTGTCTGAGCTTTTGCAGGGAGCATGTGTTATTGCTAAAATAAACAATTGTGGAAAAAGACTTTTTAACAAGAATGAAACATAAGAATAAAAAGACTTCTCTGAAGAAGGTGTGTCAGCAATTAATGGAAGGCCTGGACTCATTAGTAAGCAAGCTTTGGGTACCAGAGACGTGGATGAACTTGAAGATCTTTACCCATCTCAGGTCCCGTTTCTACAGACAGAAACAAAATCTCGTCGAGAGACCCAGTGCAGTGAAAGTTCTGCAAACATCCTCACTCACATGTCGTACAGCAGTCTCCCGGCGGTGGCAGTCCGCTCTGCGTTGCGCTCGATCGTGTACATCTCATACTGCAACACACATCAGGCCCACTGGTCACTAACCTCCTGGGGCTGGTCCTACCTCGTCTGCATCGCTTCTGGGCTTTCAGTGAGTACCCTCCCCGCGGGAATGGAGAGCTGAGAGCAAAGCACCACCTGGCGGGACAGCGCCACATACGTGGTCGCCTTGTCACAGGGCTCAGGGGTGTGACCCTCGCGCTCACTTGCAACCGCTGGACACCCAGGATGATGTGGGACGATGTCTCAAAAGTAGCAGGCGCTGGACAAATGGCTGCCATTATGAATGAAAAAGCGAATGGCCTTTTCCTAGCGGCGACATGTGCCGCCTAGGCCAGAGCGCACATCGCGGCCCCACGGATCCAAGCAGATCCGACCTCAAGTGGGTCCGCTATCTCTCTAGGTGCTTGGGGAGGAGGCTTGTGAAAGGTGCGAGAACGGGTGTGGGCAAGGGACGAGAGAAATGGGAAGAGAGGGGCGGGCTGGCCGGCAGCAGGTGGCCGGCCCCAGGCTGGCTCGGCCCGGACCCGGGCAGCCGGGCGCCGGGAGATTCGCACACCTCCACGCAGGGCGGCCGCGTGCACGGCCTGACCTCACCTGGATGTTAAAGTCAGCCGGGTAGAGGCTGCGGGCCGTGATCAGCCAAGCCTTGGCTGCCCACAGGTCCTGGGGCACCAACTCTCGGGCTCGCTGCACCAGGAACTCGCAGTCCCCCTGGGCCGACATGACCCGGGAGACACGGAGCCGCCAGCCCACCGCCGCCGGACCTTCCGGCTCCGGGGACACCTCCGCCGCCGCCGCCGCCGCCGCCGCCGCCACCGCGGGGGCTACTGCGCATGTGCGGAGGCGCCGGCCGTCCGCGGACTGGATCTACAAGGGCTTCCGGGTTTTGCGAGCAGCCTCCGCCCTTCGGCTCTAAGTTAACCGCCCGCTCCCTTCCTGGCGGAGAAGCTGGTGGTTTTGTACCGCTTCCAGGTCACACCCAAAATGTGGAGAAGTGGATTTCGATTCTTGCGGGCTGCAGCGTGACTCTGGTCGAGTCAGGGAGCATGCGCGGGAACCGGGGACTATAGACCGCCTGGCACCTTGCAGCCTTTGGGTCTGGCTGCGTTTTCCCGAGACGCGGTGGAGGGGACGGGCAGTCCCGGGGGACACGCGGTCCTTGGGTGTCCCCCGAGGCCTGCAGGGTGGGAGGAAGTTTGAACGGAAAAGCAGAGGGGGTTGGGAAGGCGCAGGAAGGAGCAGGGCTGCCCGGGCCGGATAGAGGACCCTTCCCCTGGGGCCACCCTGCCTGTGAATCACCCTCCGGGCTGAGATGTACGCGGAAAAAGTCTGGGGTTTGGTTTTGGGAATAAGCATGCAAAGCGTTTGGTCTGGGGCTTTTTATCCTGCTGAAATCCGTCCACATTTTGTTATGTCACCTTTATTCGCTGCTTTCTCCAACAAACGTTTATTGAACAATTAATACATGGAAAGCGCTTTGGGTGCCACAAAGATGATTAAATCACAGACCCAGTGAGGGTTTTATTATGTTATGGAGGTATGACCGACAGGAAAATATAACTACGCTATTTTAATTTTCTCCTCCAACCAGAAGCAACAGCATTTTCACCAAAAGTCCAGATTTGCTTTCCACTGGAGACAAGAGAAACAAAACAATCTCCCTGCTCTGGTGAAAGGAGGCGGCACTTAGCAGGAGAAAGCGGTATTTATTTACCTAATAGGAAGAATGTACCAAAAAAGTGAGTTCTGAATAGTTCATTAGCGTTTTCAGTCTAAGTTCTATGTACAAACGTAATCAACTTCTGCTGCCACTGATACTGATTTAAAACCACCTCCTACTGCTGTGAGTATTGGCTGCTAACTGCTCATAGCTGCTTTCTTCTCTAGCGAAACGTCCTTGGCTTCCGTGACAAGTTAGCCACTCCCAATTGGGTGCTACAGGGTAAAAAGTTAGTGCCCTTGGGCTTAAGAGGGGGCAAATGTGTGGCAACATTTGCTTTCCAAGGTCCTCCCCTGGTGGATGAGGCCAAGGCTGGACTTGTCTGAGACCACATCCTCTTTCCTCTTCTGTAGCCTACTCCTCCCTTATAGGTTTTTCTTGACAAGCACTCCCTCAGCAAATCGTGAGCTCCCAAATCTCTGCATCAGTCACTTCTAGATAACCCAACTTAGGACAATAGTTGTTACTGGACATAGGGGTAATATGACATGCTTCAGTGAATCCTCTGGATCCCAGACGTAGCCCCTCCTGCATCATTTGTGTAGCAGCAACCATTTCCCCTTAGTAATCAGAATCAATCATCTGACTGATAAAGTAACCCCTTTCTTAGGAGCCCCAGATGGTCAGGTGGCAGTTGCATTTCCAGTTCAATGAAACCATGACTGCCCTCCTTCCTTGGGAATTAGGACCTCCAAATCCTCACAATACAAGATTAGGAAAAATTCCCATTAGTGGATTATTAGGTACATTTTGAGAGTCCACTCCCTCCTTCTACCTTTGGTTGATTTAAAGTATATACTTGTCTATAGGACAGTACACAACTTCACAGGGTGTGGCTTAGCTGACACCATAACTAAGCCTCCTGTAGATCATTCCACTGTTTTGTCAGGCCAGCTATGTCTGGGTGATGGGAACAGGATAAGACCAATGAGCACCTGGGGCCTGTTCCTTTTGCCATAAAATGAGTTCTTGGGTCTGACATGATGTTGTGTGGGATATAATATGGTATGGGTTGAATGTCCCCTCCAAAACTCATGTTGAAACTTAAACCCCAATGAGGCAGTGTTGAGAGGTGGGGCCTTTAACAGGTGATTGGATTGAGCCCTCATGAATAGATTAGTTCATTTGTGGATTAACAGGTTAATGGATTAAAGGGTTATCATGGGTGTGGAACTTGTGGTTTTATAAGAAGAGGAAGAGAGACCTGAGTTACCACATTAGCACACTGAGCCTTCTCACCATGCGATGCCCTGTGCCACCTCAAGACTCTTCAGAGAGTCCCCACCAGCAAGAAGGGTCTTGTCAGATGTGCCCCCGTCGACCTTGGGCTTCCCAGCCCCCAGAAATGTGGAAATAAATTTCATTTCTTATAAATTGCCCAGTTTCAGGTATTCTGTTAAAAGCAATAGAAAACAGACTAAGCCACAGCAGTAATGAATCAGGTGTTCTGTAAGTGGGTGAATGGTGGAACAGGCAGAAGTGTTATGGAGGCGAATCTGAATCCGTAATAGTGTGAATTCCCAACCCTTCTCCATGATGGGAAAGGTTCAGTGTAATCAGTTCCTGACCAGGTGACTGTCTAGTCTTCCTGGGGAATGGTGCCATACTGGGGGTCTTGTTTTGGCTTCTGCCATTGACTGTTTGGGCACACAATGGGAGCTTCAGTCACATCTTCTTTGGTGAGAGGAAGTTGTTGGTGAGCTCATACATGGTGTCCCTGCCACCACGGCCACTTTTTCCATGGATCCATTGAGCAAATGCCCAATGGCTGGGGAAGGAGACTGACTGACATCCACAGGATGGATCCTCTTGTTTCCACCCAACTAGTGAGAGGCTTCTTTGCTGTGGACATCCTCTGGGGAGCATTCCCGTAGAATGCACCTGTCTTCACATTTGTGCTCATTCTGGGAGTCCACATGCTGCTCTCTTAGACTTCTTTGTTGCGAATCTTCTAATTTTGTCCTTTCTAAGTCTATGTCAGGCAGTCTGTCAAGCACTGCCTATGTCAACAGACAGCCAGAGCCCCCTGCTGTCTTTCCAGAGCAAGCCACTCAGGTGAACTGCCCAAATTTCTACCTACTGGAGATATGTCTCTTCACTGTGTTTTGGGGCTATCCATGAGGCTGGCTGTCATTCAGTGGCTGCCTGCTTCCAGATGCCAGCATACCATGCACACCCTTCTGGACAGCAGGTGCTCCCAGGAGGCCACAGATATGAGTCCAGGGACAGGTGGCGAAGCAGTGGGTGCAGCTACATGGGATTCTGAACCATGCTTGTGAAATTTCCATGTGCTTTTCAGACCTGCTGAGGTTCTTTCTTATATATTTTATTTCCGTTAAGTAATAGAATGTTAGTGCACACTTCCAACTTTATGATGGGATCACAAATTATATTTAAAATAATACCGAGTTCATGATGGGCAGCTCAGATCACCTGTCAGTTGATATCCTATGATCAAGGGTTCAGGCTCCAATAGCAATCTAGGTCCTGCTGTTCAAACCGTTAACACATATCAGAAGCTCCACACAGCACCCCTGTCTGTCACTGACATTTTGAATTCTGCTGGATCTGTTAAAACAGTTGCAGAGCCCTATCTTGCTTTGGGCCCCAGTCAGCTGGCATTTGCTAGGGGAACAGTTGCATACCAAGTATTAGGAGCGGTGCTAATTTGCTTCAGTATAAAGATACATATCTGAAACAGCAGCTGTGGTGGCACTGCTACCTGATTAAGTTTATGACAATCCACAGTCATTCTCCAAAATCCATCTGGCTTTTTCAAGGATAAATGATCAAATGTGTTAACTAGGATGTAATGGGCATCACCTACCAACCATCTCTCAAGGTTCTAATGGAGACATTATTCTCTGCAATTACCCTTGGGGATACAATGCTGCCTTTGATTTACTATTTTGGAAAATGGGGTAGCTCCGGGGACATTCTGCTTTTCTTATATAATGGTTCTGCCTTTTCTACATAATGGTTCCTACTCCATTAGTAAGGGGATCAACTGGAGGATTCTTTCTGCTATTTGCTAAATATGTTTATGGGGAAACAATCACAAGATCATTTCATAATGATTGTCATCAGACCCACCGTGAGATGGACTTGGACCAAAACATATTTGTCACTTGACTGGTAGACCAATGTGGTGTCATGGGCACCCAGGAGTCAATATTAATTGAGAGTCAGTATCTAATAGCCCCAGGAGGCCTGGGTTTTCCTTTTCCCCCAGTGCCCAGTCACCCCGGTAAATGGCTATAGGTCCCTCTGCAGATGACTTTGAGTAAGATGTATGGTATAAAATTGTGACCAAGTGGCAACCCTTCCTTAAAGGGTGGCAACTCTTCCACCTCTGTTAAGGAACTCTGGATCTATAAACTGGATGAAGTCTAGGAATTGGGTATTTTCCACTGTGGTCACTCAAGTCAGATTTGGTGGTGGGAGTTGCAACAGTGGCTGCCTGCTTCTGTGTCCAGCTCCTCTGTGATGAGAAGCACCAATTTTGGTCACAACACAGGTGTCCCATATTTAGAGAACAAGGTCCTTATTGCCCACTCTGTGCCCTGCAAGCTACTCTAGGAACACTAATATGGCTGCCTGCCATAGGTCTGTGGGTGAGAAGATGCATAGTTGCTAATGTATTAGGCTAAAATTGATCAAAATTAGCTACAGTTTACTGGCCACACCTTTCCCTGGAAGCTGCAAGCCTTTGAATAGACTCCAGAATTCCAAAATCCTTACATCACACAGATTCTGAGAATATAATTGTTGTCCCAGTGAAGAGACAGATTCCTGGTGGCTTTCTATTCTGCCATCTTCCCTGACATTCCAAGCTGTGTTAGTCTTAACATTCTGGTACAGTTCATTTGAAATTCTATGTCAAGATGCTAATTTAACATTTATGAAAACTGACTGCAAGTTGCTGTGTGGAATTTAGAACTACTGAGAGTTATAGCTGGAAATTAATTTTTTTTCTTTTTTTTTCTTTTAGGAAATTAATTTTTAATAACATTTTAAGGGCTTCTTCAAGTTGCATTCCAGATTAGGCAAGGACAAAAGAAGACATGTTTGTGTATATAAATAAGATGTAGATGATAGCATATCAGCAGAGAAAGGATTGGGATTTGGGGGAATTAAAGCT